GAACCCCTGATCCAGCATGGGATACCAACCAACCAACCAGGCCTCTGGTCTTGTTGACTCTGTCCTGAAACTTAACTCAGAAAATTGGGAGAAGGGATCCGATGGATGCAGAGAGATCCTATTATAACAATAAGCTAGTTCACGCGCCGGTCAGCGTTCACGCGCGCACCCGAAATGGCGGCACATGGTGGAGATAATCGCTCGTGGTAGACCAACTGTCAGGTTCCTAAGTTTCCGGATGGGTGCAAAATCCGCTTCCTTGTATGTATGCATTGCTGAACTAATCTTATTTCCGTGCTCTTCACTTGTATCTGTGACAGAAAAAGAAAACAACTAATTTTCGGTCTTACTTTGCGACATCCCCGCACGTCAAGAACAAACATTGGGATAAGTTTAGGAAAATTAGATTAACTTCGACCAGGCACTGGTTCGGAAATTCGCTACAAAATTACTTACAGGTGCTTCATTAATTTAGCCGTATACGGGCTTGGTTGCCAATATAATGAACTCGTTTATGCACCTACGTCACGGACGGAGTTCACAAATATTAATTATTTGTTGAATTATTAGCGGCGGTGTAGAGTTGTTCAGCCCGTTGGACCCTCCCCCAAGAGCGGACGTTTTTCTCCTAAACCCCACATCTCCCACCCCCATAAGAGCGACAGTTTTTCATCTAAAAAGTCCCTAGGAGTTTTTTTCACTGTCTGCTAACTTTTTTTAAAAATAACTATGAACCATCTCATGACTCAGGACAATTGGCCTGGCCAACAAACTGATTAAATTCATGGCGCGAGGTGGGGCGTTTGTAGCATAGCGGTTAGAGCGTTGGCTTCCGGTAGAAGGCCTTCTCTAATACGCTGGTTCAAATCCCGCCGAACGCCTCGATTTTTTTCACAATTGGGTCAACTCAAATTAAGCAAAACTGCCAAACCTCCTTATAAACTGAGATAAAACATTTCTGCTACCACGACACACATGTACAAATAGGGATCTCAAAGGCAATCTACCTACATATCCCTCCATAAAATGATACTGATACTGATATTTCGTGCGTTTTTCGGGACACTACGTCGTACATTTTACGCCGTACCTTTCTTATAGCGTACTCAATTGCGCATGCTACAGCAAATATAGGCTTCTTTTACTTTTTAATTTACCTATCACTGAAGGTTAATGTTAGTTCAACTTTGTGGTGCGCCATTTCCCGCTTGTTTACTTGTATATACATTCGCGTTATTTACAAATACTTTGACCAACAGATAAGGTTATTAAGGGTTGAGATATTACCGAGAATTTAATTGGTGGATTTTGTTTTGCCCGGTCTATATATTATGGGTTATAGCTTCGATAAGTTAACAAAAAATGCACTTATACCATTTTCGATTAACATTTTACACAAAATAGAGCCTTCGGTTATTTTTATTCGTAATATTGGCGTCATCTGCTTAGCTTTATTTCGAGGAGATGGTAATACTACACTACAACAGAGAAAAGTATGGTAATGGGACGTACCTCATCCAGTTTGAGACACTCTTGGTGGAAGGACGCAGGACAACTTTCACAGCATATAATCCGACCACCCTTTGAGCAGATGAAACACCATGACACGTTAGCGGGCCTAAACATGCCAGCCAATTGGGAGCGTCGGAGTTCTGGCAGAAGAAGTTTATTGATAGGAGGATCAAGACTTGACTTTTTGTCTTTGTCAGTTTGCACCGATGAAACATCAATGTTGAGTTCGGTCAGTTTACTGTCTTCTACCGACTTCGGGTTGGATGACACATCGGGTAGCTGGATTACGTCGTCAGTCGCCTCCACTTTTTCCACACTACGATCAGCCG